TGGATCTAGTTTGAAATGGCCGACTGGCGGCCAATTTGTTTTAAAGAATTCAGTTCTGGATCCGTATCCGAGACATGTCTGGATTGATCAAGTTCAAACTTCACACACACATGAGAGTACCAGAAGAAAATGCAACTGCAGATGGAGCTTGATAGTAAAGACAGTGAAATAGAACAGATTTCTTTTAAATTACAAGCCCTGAATAGCGACACTGCCAGCATTAATAGTGGTATGGACTTGGACTCTGAAGAAGGCATCACAGGTAAATACTTTACAAACTAATAATATGTATGTATCTGAATATCAAATTATCTCATTATATAAGTACACAGTCTTCAATCCCTTTAATAAATAAACTCATAAAATCTTTATAAAATTAATTGTCCGCTGTGGAAGTTTGATGAATTTCTAGAATAGATGCTAAACTCTTCACTCATTTCATTGGTGCTGGCTCAGACATTAATCCCAAGGCAAAATACAAGTCACCAAATGAAGACATTAAAAGCAAATATTATTTCATAATATATGTAGGTTTGGTTTGACCTTTGACTGTGGTAAATGCAATTCATAAATTCCATATCAGTACACGTGTGCGATAATGTACTGAACTACTTTAATAACTTTTTCACTACCAGACTTTCTTGTCCAAATTTGTCTGCACTTTTTATTTTAAAATTCTTCAATATTTCTAGAATTGAATCCTAATTTTAGGGCCAACAGACACAATTTGAGTAAATTGTCAGTTTTTGCTCAATAAATTTGGCTATTTTTGTCGCAATCTTTTGAGGAAAAGTGTGTACTATAAATGGGACTATTTTGTGAATTTGTGATGAAAAGAAGAAACTGGTGATGAAACAGGGTTAAGAGGTTTCACAGTTAGAGTTGCGGCTATTGTAAACAAATTTGTAGTGTTTTAAATTTATTTTTATTTATTTTGTCAAATGCTAATATGGTGAAATTATTTAAATTATTTTCCATTGTCATGTACAGATTCTTCACGAGTTGAAGGCTGGTTGGCGATACCAAATCGTCAGAATATTAAACGTTATGGTTGGAAGAAACAGTATGTGGTTGTTAGTAGTCGCAAAATTGTATTTTATAATGATGAAGGGGTAAAGCAAGCATCAAATCCAGAAATGGTGTTAGACATTGAGTAAGTATGACGTACAACGTCTGTCTTGTTATCGTTGGTGTCATTGTGATGGTGTAAGGTTATGACATGCTGTTGGTGGTCAATGTTCCTCTATAAGCCTTGCGCTCATGACATTTCTTTAGTGAAGAGTCCATACTTGTCAGTGAAATTAAACACTCTTGAAAAGAATTGATTTCAACATTATACATTTTGTATTCAAATATACCTGATTCATGGTGTAATACATCTGATTTATTGTGTAATATGCCTGATGTATGAATTTGTGTATTAAAAATGAAACAATGATATGCCTCACAATGTTTTGTCTACACTGATGTTCTGTTAAGTCTATTGCCACTGACAACGTCATCGAAATCTGCTCCCTTTGCAGTAAACTATACCATGTGAGATCAGTAACCCAGGGTGATGTTAAACATGCAGATGCTAAAGACATTCCACGAATCTTTCAATTATTGTACGCTGGGGAAGGAGAAAGCAAAATAGAACGAGACAACGCCCATGACTTGCCGCCTATATTGGTAAGATCTGCAGTAAAGCATTCTGGAAACATTTCCTCATCTGAATTTTCAGAGTTGAACTCCATTACAAGACAGGCAGTCATAAGTTAAAGGTTGGCTGTTATGTGAAAAACAAGTGTGTAATATTCGATAGCAAACTGTTGTATAACAAAGCACCATTCGACTTATTTTATTTTGCTGTTCACAGGACAAGGAGATGATTCAGTTCAAGAACCATGAATTTCTAACAGTACATTTTCACGTGCCAACTGGTTGTGAATCATGCAGGATACCATTGGGCGGTATCATCAAACCACCCACAGCCTTAGAATGCAGGAGTGAGTATCACTATTTCTATTGTATTCAGATTGGTTCAATGTTATATTTCTGTTTATTTAGACCAGCCAGAGATGATCTCATTCATATTTCGTACAAATTTCAACCTGGTCATGTGTGATTAGTTTGCTTGGCAACAGGGAGTTAGTTGGTTTGACCTTCTGAGTCGATTATTCACAACTAAGAGTATATTCTACGCAAACCACCGAACATGCTGTATTTGTTTTGAGATAATTTCATCTTGTCAGTCCTGTGTTGTTCCTGTTCTTAATGCACATAACAAGTCATAGTATTTTTGTTGGATTAAATACTGGATTTTCTTTAACCTTTTCCCCACAAGAGAACTGGTTGTGAAAAGGTTGGCAGCCATTCTGTCTATCCGTTTAATGGAAGCTTTTGTAAAATCTTATTTTCAAATGTGAATTGTTCTGTCTTTGAAGGGTGCCATATGAAAGTACATAAAGATCATTATGACAAGAAAGAAGAGGTCATACCACCATGCAAAGGTGAGTGCAACGGTTTTAGAGATATAGCCATAAATAACAGGCCATGATCAACAGTTCTTTGAAAAAAATGAAGTTGAATCTAAAAATGGCTTTGGTTAAAGCGAGGGGGTTGTCACCTGCGCATTTGTGAAAATTGAGTCCCAAGCGACGATTACAATACACGCTAAAAATGCAAAGGCTCATGGGTAGACGCTTGTTTGTAAACAATGACGCGC